AAAGAGGGAGTGCAAAGCTGAGCTTTCATTTACACACAGGTCTGGAGTAGGTGGAAACAACCAAACAATAGATTTTTTTTTTTTTTTAAACTAATTCCAATAAACACTTACAGCCCATCCTGGCTCAAGTAGCTCACTCATAACTCACGTCCTACACCTCATTCTCTTTGCGTATGTAATTGTCTCAGTAAAGGTACCACAGAAACCCTGTTCAGTTTGGCCTCCTTTCCAGATGAATTGATCTTATAATTACCTGACTGAAACTACTCAAAGCATCTGTGCAACTGTCATGTGAGGATGAATAATTGGCAGGAAAGTAGTGGAAATCAATGTACCTTACAGCTGTTGCTCTGAAAAGCTTTAACTTATGAATGAAGGGGAGGGGAATAAAAATTTTCCTATAAAAATATTTTCAAATCTAAAGTGTATTTTATTGAAAATCTGAAATTCAGGAGGGGTAGCTGGGTTTACTCTTTTTTCTGTGGAAAGTTTAAAAATAAATCACATTTTTTATTTTGTTCAGTTTTGAATTGTAATTTTCACTGAGAATTTGGAAGTCACAAAATAAATGTTTTTACCACCCTTTCTTTGTCCTCTCCTGTTCTGTCCACACCTCCACCCCCTACAGCACCAATAGATAAAAGATTTCTCAAGCTTTCAAGGACTTTCCTCCTTCTACTTTTTTCACTCTAAGTTTTCAGACTATTTCCAGCTTTGCACAAAACAAAACAAGGGAAAAAAAAGCAAAAGCTAAAGCAAGTCTTCCTCCATACTCTGGGTAAAACCTGTTTTATTACACTAAGCTTCCAAAAGGAAAGAGAGAGGCAGAGGGAGAAAAGAAAAAGGAAGATTAGAATTCCAAATATTCTTTAAAAAAAAATCATGACATATTCTGATATTAGGAAAAGTTCTTCTATACAAGACCTGGAAAATAGAGAGTAGCTTGAGACTTTTCAAGTTTGTTGGGTTGGTTTTCAGTTCCCACTCCTCTCTGTGGCAGAATTATAACTGAGAGCCTGATAAATGATCAAGTCCATGTGAAGTGGTTCTCACTCCACAAGGGAATATTGCACCTGCAGTAATATAATACACCGCAGAACATCTCTCCTAAACTCCCTGGGCTTAGAGCTCCTGAGCTAGTCTTGGGAGCATCCTGGCACACACAAGCAAAACGCTGAGGCTGCTCGCTCAGCCAGCTGTCTACGCCCAGGCTCCCCGTGCCACAGCTGGGAAATGGATCAGCCGCCAAGTCCTCTGGCGCATCAGCCTCACTGCAGTTTTACTGCTTGTACGAGCTGCTGAAACATAAAACCATCTTTACAGCAAGAAGGTGGGCCCTGGGACTAATCATTCCACAAACGAGACAAAAGCAACAAAGACAAAGCCTGTGCAGTGCTGGCAGTGCTGCTGGGCAGGTGGCGGGGCTGGGAAATATGACTTTCCCATCATGACTCCTTCACACACAGCAGGTGTCTGCTAGGCCTTAGCTTGCAGAGAGAAAGTCCCCCAGTCCTGGCCTCCCACGTTCGCGAACAGGAGTGCTGCCACCAATGTCGGCAGAGCTACGCGTCGCCCCAGGCACTGCGTCCTCCTCCTCGCTCTGCGTGCTGCTGAAGTTGCTCAGGGCGCCCTGCGAGCACCTCGGGCTATGGACTGCCCAAAGCCACAGGAACCCAAGAGGGAGCACGCACAGTGTTTCTGCAAGCCCATCGGGTGTCCAAGTCCACACCGCTGCACACAAACACTCTTCCGTACCCTGCTCAGCCGAAGAACTGGGAAGAGTCCGGTCATTTTCCTAAAGCCAGTAAGCATGTTAATACCTCCCTTAATCAAAGTTTTGGAAGTGCTTTAAAACTATTTTATAGTCAGATAATCAGCAACTAGGTCTGGCAGATTTCTAAAGGGAAGTACTTCATTTCCACACAGTGACCAATGCAATTCATATGTTATCTCAGGATGGTGCCAAAACAAAGGGATCTGTCTTTGATATTTCCTCTACTTACCCAGCCCTTCCACCACGCCATTGCTGTCTCAGTAGTTCTTTCTGGGCCTGTTAATGAATAAAACCACATGTATCACAACTCATGATAAGACGAGGGGGAGAAGGAGGGAAGAAAGAAAAGTTCTTTCCAATAAACTCACCGCAAGGAAATTAGAATAACTGTGCTTCTCACAAGAGGCTTATTCCCTTTGGAAACTGCAGGCGTAACTGGCTTCCTCGGGCTGGGAACACACAGGTATAAGCCACCTTTATCTACAAAATCCACAGGGCAACACCCTCAGACATGGCTCGACCTGTTTTTCACATATGATCTCATCACAGGGAGAGGTCAAATTGCTTAATAGAACAGGCTTCCCTTGTGAAGAGCCCTACATTCAACCTCAGTTGACTAAAGTATGTTTTAATTTTTCCACTGAGCCCCACTGCCCTCGCCCCCGCATTTTAGCCTCTGGCACTGACACAACATGCAAATTCTAACCAGGTAATTTCCCAGAATAAAACTCCACTGAGACTCAGTGAGTTCTGCCACAACATAACAGGCCACTCTCATTATTAAGGACAGGTTCTCTCAGCCAGTCTGGATGACAGCAAAGCAGGACACTAAAACTTTACAAACTCTGCCCAGTTTCCCTTCCTTCAACAAGGCCTACAAAGAAAGTCCCACATCTCGTGGTAAAGCTCAGTAAAGGAGCAGACAGTACACAGAGACTTGAAACCTCACCGTCCCTTGGCTGAACAGGCATGACACGTGGAAGGAAGCATATCTAGGCTAACATAGGACTAGTACATTTAGGGTTCACTACTTTTAGTGATGCCATCCTTAACAAGGTTATCACAGGACTTTGCACTAGCTGCTGTTTTACGTTAAGGTTCAGCAGTGGACTGAATTATTATTTTTTACTCCTTTTTTGTGTTTGTTTTAAAAAGAGCTGAACAGCTCTTAATACTTTAATTTGGATAAGTGTTCATGTGAAATCAGCTGAAATATCTTAGGGCTGTAGCAAGATTTTCCTGTCTAGACTTTTGTCAGAATTCACTCGTGCCAGCATTTATTTATTTATTTTTAAAGGAAAACTGCCCTGGTGGAAACGTTCCCACCAGCTCTAATCTTAACCCTTGCTATAGAGGAACTTTGTCCTCTCTCCATCCCCTCTCCCAGCTAAAGATCCATGTGGGGCCCTGGGTAAATGCCAGAGTATGAACCTCTCTTACTGCCTTCCCACACACTGGTTCTCCACTTAACCCAGCAAGATCCCCCACAGCCTGGGAAACTGCCCTACTTATTCCCATTGGAACTAGCTGTGCCAGCTCCTCCGCCCCAAAACACACCCATCATATGGAAAGGGCAATTTGATTGCAAAAACACTTGTGGAAGGAGGAGGCATCACCTTGGCACAGTCAGTATGCAGCTAGAGCCTGCATTGGCTTCTCATGTTTAAGGGGCAGGGTCATGGTCAGCACACAGCAGAAACAGCTCAGGAGCAGTCCTCCATCCCCATCCTCCCAGATAAAAGCAAGATAGAGCAGGGGGCTTGTTTTGCTGGATCCCACGGCTCTGCCTGGCTGGTTTCACATGCCTTTTCCCTGCACTGGGATTTAATTAGGTCAGCCTGCCACAGAGGTCAGTTTTCTTGAGGACTGTAAGGACAAAGAAGCCCTTCTAGACAGAAAATTGCAGTTACAGCAAGCAGCTGTAAGTCACAGAGGGGAGCAGAGACCAAGCTAGACAGAAAATGGGAGAAAGTCCAAGGAGTCATTTTTGCCAGCATGAACTAAAAAGACTGCAAAGGGATACCCGTAGGAGATTTTAACAGGAGAATTAGAGTTCACTGTGGAGAAATGGTGGCCAGATTTTAAGAAATCTGTATGGATGGGCAAGGTAAGGGCTGGAGAAACTGAACACTGAGCAATCCTCATCCAAGTGCAGTGGTGCTGTTCTGAACTGATTCCTGCTCCTCCATATTCATCGTGCTATATCATGTTATTAAAAAAATCTCTCATGTGAGTAGTGAATATTACTCCATCATTGCCTCAGCACCTGATGAATGAAGCTTCAGTGCAGTGAGGCTCAGAGCAATGCTGGGCAGCCTTAATACAGGGCAGAGCAGCAGGCATCCTCAGCTCAGCTTAACATAAACAGACTGATCTTTGCTGTGCATCTTGGCCCTCCTTTAACATATATGCTGTGCTTGTCTGTGGTTCCCGCACTTTACTATGTACCAGAGATATACACACAGCCTGTACAGCACCAGTAAGCTGAGTGAGGTGCAGCCTCACCTGTAATCCAGTGATTACCTTCAGGAATATGCAAAAATTTGAAGACAGACAGGAGATAATGAATGGATTCTCCCAAGCCTCCCTGCCACAACCAAGAAGTCATTTCTGCATCACAGATATTAGTCTTAGAAAGCAACCTCCAAACTCACTAGTAAGACTGTCAATAAAGACTCTGCCCCAGCATCACATTAGGGTAGTTAAAATTTGACTCAGACAGTGATCCTAACTACCCACACTCTGGAGTACTTTGGTACTCCACAAAATACAATCGCATCTCAGTTGTTTGCAAAAGGGTTACCTAGGCAGTGGGTCAATTGCACTGTGAGAAGAGCCACCCCCAAAGCATCGCCACAAGAGAGATTTTCTCTGGTCTCGTCCCCAGTCACTTACTGCTGCCCCCAGCTGGCTCTCGGAGAGCTCTCGCTCCTCCTGACATGCCCAGCTGAGTGAGCTTTTGCTCGGCTGTCATCTGGCAAGAGTGGGGATTATTCTACCTTGTTCAAATCCATAAAGACTTAAAGACTAAAATGAGCTGATAACCTTAGGAAGATGCTTTACTAGCACTGAATCAGGAATCTTTTACCATCTATTAAACTCTGACTGCTCTGTTTAGCTAGGAAGAGAGCAGTTCAAAGTACACTTTAATTTAGACTGAGGTAACTAAAGACTCCTAGGGCACTGAGGCAGTCCACTGTGTCCCCTTTCTCATCTGTGGGTTAACACAGTCTGGCCCCATGCCTGGAAAGTTTCAGGCCACAAGCTGGCTGCTTTCAAACATGAGAGCTTATGCAAAATAGGGTCTCAGCTGTTCAGCAATTTTACTTACTCCATGGCTTTGCCTTTTACTAAAACTGTATCAGGCAAGACAAGAACAGCAGAGCAGGCTTAGAATTTTACCCAAAAGCTTTAATCTGTTTGTTTTTTTTTTTTCAAATCAGGAGTTTAATCACTAGGGAAGTAACGCACAGAGATACCTTTGTGCAAACTGATAATCTGACCATGAGTATAAATAAGACAAGTTAAAGTTCAGAAAATTAGAGCACATTCCTCAGACCGAATAGGAGAAAGGTATTCTGTTGCAGAGCCAAGAGATGAGCAATTTTCTCCAGTTCAGCCTGTAAGTAATACCACAGAGAACTGTAGCTCTGACAAGGACCCAATTCAGGAAAGCGCAAGATCTTCTTTTACACAACACTAAACTCTTAACACCTCCCCCAGTCCTATGCTTTCCAGGATTGGATGTTACCTCCTTGCTTACAAACCGCTGTCCCCACTATCAGCAATACTGTACCCTACCTTTCAATGGCTTATCAGCCTCTTGCGCCAGCAGCTTTCATGGCTTCTACCTGGTTTGCAAACCTGCACTGTGCAAGCTATGCTACTCTCATCCTGCAGATATTAAACCACTGGGGAAACAAGTCTAGAGACAAGGCATTACCTTCTTCTGCTACTTCTTTTTATCCTTTTTTTTTTAATTATTTAAATGAATGCCAGCTGCCATGGTTCTAAAGAGCAAATGCCCTTCTCTCTACTAATTTGCTCATCAGCACCTGAAATCAGATCATTATATGAGAGGGCTGTGTAAATTTGCTGGCAGGCCAACCCAAACAAAAAGTTACTGTCTGTTTGTGCAAGAGGTGTGGGCTGGCGGAAGAAAACAGATGGAGAAGGCAGTCATTTTGAGCAATGAGAGCATCTGTAATGCAAAAATAAAGCCACTACAGCCTAAAAAATTACACTCACATATCTGGCAGCTCACTGCTTACCCTGTCCCTTCCTCTCTTGCCTTTGAACCATCATACATGATGAAACTGATCCAAAAATAGGATTTTTTTTTTTGAAAATTACTAGCTCAGCTTCACTTTCCGGATTTCCTTAATTATTGCAAGCAGCTTTGTGCCCAGTATCATAGGAGCAAATTTTCATCTACATATTTTGGGGGATGTTCAATCACAGAGGCAGCAGCAGAGTAAATACTCGGGCTTGATGCCACCCAGCACCTCATAACTCAGGAGGACAAGGCCTGAGATCAGCAGGGACAGTTGACACTGCTTGGGATTGCACAGACGGGTTTGTGCAGGTTACTAAAGGGTGTGCCGACTTCAACTTTACAGAGCACCTTTGACATGCAGAGCCTATCTGCTGCAGATGGGATGGCCAGGGTGAAACACAAACACAAGCAAAGCAAAGCAAAGCAAAGCAAAGCAAAGCATATCACCTTGGCTTGCTCTGTCTCTGCTCCCTTTTCTGTCTGGTTCTGGCTGCAGCATTTTTCTCTATTCATTCCTTTCTTGCTCTAGTGTTGACGTCAAGGAATTTTTGGTAGTCGCACTAACAACAAAGCTGGCATTTGCTGCTCTTGTTTAACCCCAAAGGCCAACAAAGAAAGCGTTTTCTGAATCAAAATGGACAAAAGATGCTCACTTGGGTCTGACAGGAACATGACAGATTCCAGGAATCTGAACGCCAGCAGTGGGTGCAACACAACGTGCAAGAAGCCTTTGGATGCTTGTATGTGAAATGTCCTCACCTACCTCCACGGGAAATATTTTTTATTTAGTCCTTGATGGTCAGTACTGGCGTTTGTATACAATTAAAGACTGTCCTGCTGCTCAAAGTGGCCCTGTAATGCAGAAGGCAGTACACAGAATAGTCTAAGGGGGAAGAGAATAAACCCCTAGATGTCTCCGAAATCTAGCTACTCAGCCTTCAAAGAAGTAGCAAGGTAGCAACACACCCTTTACTGTTTGGAGTCTGACAGGGACATGACAGATGCCAAGCTACAATGAAGACAGCATCCTGGAGCCGTCCCCATAGATACTAGCTACTGGTTGGGCTAGGATAGGAATGACAACTTATAGTTGCTTAGTGGCACAGTCAGTGGAACAACATGGTAGTACTGTCTGTATCACATGCCTGAAACTCTCCACTTTGGACCATGTCCCTGTTGAGTTTGTACAAGTAGGGAGGCAAAGAGCAATCCCTGCTTTAAAAAGCTCACAGACTAATAGGACACATAGTATTTTCATTGAAGGAAAAAGACATAAACTGAAATATTATAAAAAACTTCCAGTTCAGATGGAGAGTTTTTTCCAAGTTCCCTCAGTCACTAGTAGAACCAGTGAAAGCACTCCCAATGACTGTGCTGAGTGCTGAGCCATACCAGAAGGCCTCTTGGTTAACTTCTGGTCTCCCTCTCACTTCTGCAAAATCATGGTGACTCTGCTGAGGGACCTTGAGGCATCCTGGCGAGCATAGCAAAGGCATTTGTGTCTCAAAATCTTGACAATGGGAAATAGAAGCAAAGGCACAAAAAGTTTTGCTTTCCTCTCTCAGGGTCATGACGTTCAGTCTCTGTTCAAGTAACCATGATCTTTGTCACCTAAGCAGACCATTAGGTACCCTTTACATGACTACTCACCCGTCTTCATGGGCAGCGGCAAGGCTTAGACAAATGAGATACTGCCTGTGCCAACTTGTTTTTCAAGGTAGAGATGGGTCCCTGAGCCAGTTCTCACGGTAACATGGGTACTTACACATCCAGTGCCTCCCCCTCCCGGCCACAGCGAGAGGCCAGTTTCTGGGACGCACTGGAGAATGCAAAAGTACTGGACATATGAATCGTTGGTTTTATTTTTGCATTTTATTGTGTGCTTACACAAAGGCTGTTGCTTTCTGGAGAAAAAGTAACATATTTCACAAATTATTTTTGTAGCAACAAGAACTGATAGCAGTGCAAATAAGCTTATAACAGGCTAGACTTTTGCACCAAACTCATTAAAAATAGCAATAGTGCTGTTAAAACCGACAGGTCACCTGAAGTTGAGGGCTGTGGTCTAGCTGTGTTAGTTGAACTTCTTCCAAATGTTAAAGTGTTTTTTTTCCTGGGAACCTCTGCCATCCTTAGTGTGGAGTTGATAGACTAAGACCAGCCCCTGCAAGATACTAAGGTAATCAAAGTCCATTGAGTCAAACCAGAGAGGATGTGTTCAGAGGCATGGAGAGAGCAAGAAATTAAAACGAGCTCTGCCAAGAGCCAAACTTGCAGCACGCAGCATCTCAATTGCAAAATGGCACAAAGCATTCATTCATATCCCCAAAAGACTACCTTATACTCCAAATCTGGAGCTCTTTTCAGCACTAATGTGCATTGCAAAGGTAATAAACAAGGGTGGAACGTTTCAAATGTGGAATTCTTGTGACTGGCTCGTACATCCACAGATAGGCTCAAGAACAGAAGTGAACTGACAGCCAGGGCTTGTGAGTCTGGACGATTTTACTCAGCCTATGTTTCAGAATTAATCTGTGGGTCTTTAATATCAATATAGCGATCACGTCGCAGCTCAGCAGTGTGTGCACCCACATGAAAAGTGCAGTGTGGCGCACAGCACAGGCTCAAGAGCGCTGCCACGCTGACACCTTGGCACCATGCAGGGGCTGCCAGTGGCAGAGACACAGCCGAGGAAGGAGAGGCTCTGAGGAAGGGGGAGGAAAAAGCCATGAAGGAGGGAATAACTTATGGCAAGGGCTAAGGGAATTGCTTAGGAGGGAACAGCCAAGGCAGATCTAGGAGTGATGGACAGAGGAAGGGAGGCAGCAGTACAGCCTGCTCCAAGCTGCCTTCCTGGTTCAGACTGCAGTGGGAACAGAGCACACAGAGCAGCTGAATTACTAGGATACAGTTACCTAACTGCAGTTCTGCTGTCAAATGCCTCAGAAATGCTGAACTCTTCCTGGGCCAAGAACAGAACGTCAGCAAGCACCCCTACCCATCACACCACTTTTACTGGGAGATCAAGTTTTGCATAATAAGCGATGCTGCTGGCCAGTAGGCTAGGAAACACTAGTCTTCTCCACCGCTGAGCACTGCATTGCTGCAGAAATTGTGTGAGATCAGCAGTTGCCGGAGGCTTGGTTTTTCAAAGTAAACCATATCTAATTCCGGTCATACGGGCTTTTGGTATCTGGGCAGTGAGCGGCATAGGTACCGATTGAACCACTAATTGATGGTAACCAGGAAACACACGAAAACTTATCCAAGAGGACTTTGACAGTTCCCATTTCCAATTTTCCTGTCAAAAGTCAGTTCGCTCTCCTAATGTGAGTGTGTGTCTATGTGTGTGTCTATGTGAAATATTTCAATCACATAGCTACGTATCTGCATAAACTCCCTCCTGAGATTACAGGCATGCAACACTGGACAAAAGCAACCTGACCTCACAGAGCCAGCAGGTATTTCCTGCAGCGGGCTGCCCCCTGCTCAGTAACTATGCAAGCCCCAGCCAAGCATGCCAGCCTTGTGGTGGCTGGGACATCTCCAGCCTGATGCTGGTCGGGGGTGAAAGGCAGGAGGACAAGTGAGCGAAGGGCAGCCACGTGGCCCACAAGTTGTACAGAGAGACAGATGCTCCTTGGTAGGTCAGAAGGCAGCAAGTTCACTTTGTGGGCGGTAGAAGAGGCTATTATTGGGGCTGGAACTGCCAGTTTAACCAGGGTTTCCATAGCAAAAACAGCTTTAAATGGATTAAAAAAAAAAAAATGCTGATTCTTGGTCTGTTTTGAAGAAATCTCAGCCTGCCAGGGCTCCTGCTTCACCATGGGAAATAGGTTGTCATGTCCTGCCCTCCAGTGGCAGTCCTAGCCAGGCCAACCCAAGGCCACCACAGTCCCCTGCTCTGGAGCAGACCTGGGCTACTGCAGCCCCCTGGAAACACTCCAGGGCACACACAGCCATGCTCTGAGAAAGAAACTCTCCAAGGGAGTGATTGGTGATAAATATACGGCTCTTCAGAGCGGTCACACCCTGGTTTTGTATCTGTGTGACACAGAGATCACTGGCCACATGCCCATGGCTACTCACCACAGGTGTGAAGAGGCTGTCCAGAGTAAGGATTGGCACAGCTGGGAGCTTTGGGAAGGTCCCACACTTCAACCTGTCCTGCCTCCCCATCCACCAAAGCTGCCATCCCCCTCCTCAGCCCTGGAGAGCCTTGCACTGCCTCTGCCAGAACACTGTACGCTGCCAGGGAGCTGCAGTCCAAATGGCCAGTCTGGGGTAGTGCCATGTGCAATGACATCCTCCCGCCACCCCCATGCCCAGGCCCCTCAGGACAGGTGTGCAGCAGCCTCCTTTCCTGCAGGTGACAGCCCCACCAAGGGACTGTGCTCAAGGAGCATCTCCTGATTGGCACTGATGTGTGTCTTACAGCAGCTTTCGCTCTGAGGAAGCTCTCCTAGCCCTAGCTGTGCTCTGAAAGGTTCTTTCAGCCTTAATGGGAGAAACATACATTCACTATTTCCTTGCCATCAGCACCCAGAGGCTCAGGATTCCCACGGGCAGCAAGAAGGGCGAAATGCTATGCAGTGTATTGCCAGACCCCTCTTAAGGCAGGACGAAATGTTGGGGGTGGAGGGAGATTTTTCCCCCTCAGCAGAGGGTGCAGGGAAGGTCTGGAGGCTGCAGCTGGGGCCTTGCTCTATGCAGGGGCTATAGGGCAGGGACTCCAGTCCCCACCTCTCATGGCGATGCCCAGCCGGGTGACAGCAGTACAGCAAAGCTGGGATGGTTACAGAGCCCTTTCCACCCTGGGGCTTCAGAGAACTCTATTCAGAGCATGGCCTCCATGGTAGTTTCAACCCCTTCCTTCAGGCCACTGACTGGGGAGAGAGGGAAAGCAGCAGACTGATGGGGGCAAATGTTTCTTCACATCTTGCCCTCCGTATGCATGTGCTCCAACAGCTGGTTAGGCAAGGGTATGCTGGAACTGGCTCCTGCCAGAGAAACATCATGCACTTTGCTCAGATGCAAACACATTGACGGGCTATTTTTTACACTTATTTCCTGCTGTTGAATTGAGGCCTCTCATGACTTATCAAATATACTTAAATTCAGACATGTATCATGCTCATGGCCAGCACTGGGACCTGTCCTGCCTCTTCCCTCTACTACAAGGAGAGTTGCAAAGGTACTCAGAGAGAAAAGCTGGTATCTGCTCAGTGTGAGAGGAGCTACCATAGCTGCAGCTGCAGAAACTGCCTGGCCAGGAGTGCTGAGATGTATGGTTAAAACATCTGGAGCTGAGCTCGGGCCTTCCAGCTAGGGAAGTTGAGGCACAAAACAGAGGGCAGGGACACAGGCAAAGCCCCAAACTAAATCACAGCCAGAGCCAGCAGTAGTGTTCAGGAACCATCCTGACTCCCTCAGCACTGTCTCCTACAGCAACGCCCATGTCTCACTGCCTGCCCACATGGCAGTGGGGAGACTGGTTGTCAAAGCTGTCACAGCTCCCCACTCCCAAGTGGCGAGCTGGAAGCACTTGTGGCTTGAGGTGAACAATGCCTGAGCAATGCTGAGGCCTGGCTCTGCTGTGGTAGCATCACGAGAGGGAAGGAAAGGCTTGACACTGGCCCTGCCACCCTCAAAAATGACACTGCAGAGTTGGTGAACCCAGAGGGTGGGAATAACAGACCCAGTGAACATGGTGTTGCTCAATCAACTCCTCAGAGCCACTTGTGGTACCAGCAGGCTCTGGATCAGGCTGTCAGAGAACAGACCATCACCACGTGTACACCTCTAGGGCAAAGGAGTACAACAGGATTCAAGGAGGATGCAGAAAACTCACCTTCCAGATACACCTCTTAGGAGACCATGGTGGAGCTGCTGTCTGAGCCCATCCAGGACAACATCCTGCCTGCTCTTCCCTCAGTGGTGCTGGGTTCAGCGGACTGGCATTAGAGGCTAACCTGCTCCTCAGTTCCTGAACATGACAGTGAGGGAAATGGGCTACTTCCTATTTTGACCTGTGAGTCTTCAGTGACATAGAAACCATTAGAATCAGCAAAAATAGTCAGAGGGTTGGGAAACTCCAGCGCCTGTGGACATCTGCAATTTCTCCATGCCAACTTGTTCCCTAGAAGAGGACTACTGCTGTGAGGTGGCTGCTCTCACCAGCCTAATCATCGTGCCTGGATCACAGCTCACCTTCCCTTGTGGAGAAGCCAGCCCTTGTGTGCCCTGACAAGGAGCTGCCGCAAGCTCCAGCCCTGCTAGCTCTATGCTCTGCTGTGAACCCAGAGCCCATGCACAGCTGAGCTTCCCATGCTGACACCAAGGATGAAAATCAGTCCTTGTACCACTCCAGTACTTCAGCTGTACTAAAGCCTTCCTGTTGCAGTCATCTCTGGCAATGATCCCTAGATGGTCCCAGTCCAAGGAGTACTTCTGCTTGTGATCTGCAAGGCAGCACTTGCCAAGAATGACAGGCATGGCAATCTGTCCACACTTGGCTTAGGACCTCCAGTTTTTCACCACCCAAGCTGGTTTGGTACCTTCCAGCCATTGATCTCAAAGTGCTTTTGAATGTCATTTATCCGAACACATGAAGCCCATACAGACCTGTAGTTGGAGATTAACAGAAACCATATCCTAGGTGGGATGAATTCTCTGCTTTTTCAAGGAAGTAGGATTTAAAAGTGAAAAACCTTCAGAGAAGAGTGTGAACAAAGATGTTGCTGCCAGTCCACCAAGCCATATGACTTGGGCACACTGTATAGATTCTCAGGAACACAAGAAGCTTCAGTCATGAGAAAAGAGAAGTCTATTTTTAGAGAGGGAGGCAAAAAAATGAAGAGACTACTCAAGTCTGGACTAGCCAAAAGCAAAGGAAGTCAGCCTGGAAAGATAAAGTCCATGGTTTGAAAAGCCACATATAGTCAGAGGGGGAATCTTGGGACTCCTGCTTTAAGCTCAAAACATCTTCCTATGTACTGAAGAAAGGGAGGCTAGGAAATATTTCAGTATCTTTAGCATTTTACCTGAACAATGCACCAACCACAATCTCTAAGGAAAAGGAAATTTTATTTAGTAACCGGTGCCAAATGCATGCATATTCATTACACGTGCATGTGTCCTGTATACTACGTTCTTCTTTGTCCTCTGTGAAGACTCAGGCTGTAAACCCAGCCATTCTTGCCATCAGAGGGAAAAACTACACCTCTAATGTGGACCTTCTGGGGTCACAGGGTCTAAGACATTTCTGCAGGGCCGCTATTTCTGTCATGTAGGAACAGACAATCTGCACCCAAGAATCACGTCCCAAAGATTCAGCAAGATGCAGGAGGCCACCAGCATGGAAAAAGGGCAACTTAGTTGTTACGTGGAAGTGATAAACTGGCATGAGGAGAGCTTGCTGCATGAACTCTTTTGCAGAGCAACCTTTTGGGGTTATCTAAGGACCTTTAATGAAGTATTTATCCATGCATGCCAGCGCTGCATCTCTGAAAGCTTATCAGGAAACATTTCTCTATTTAGGTGACACAGGCAAATCCTTTCCATAGGATTTCCCTGCATTCCTCCTTTCTTGCAGGGCTCTTTCATCTCATCTTTGGGGTCTGAACAGTTCTCCCAAGCTGCAGTCAGAAATCAGAGTCATACTTGGCTAGGAGACTTCCAGGGTACCCTCCTTTGCAATAACGGGGAGCAGGGAAATGATCAGCATGCAGGGAGAGGGGAACTGTGCCACAAAAATCACTGAAGTCTGAGGAAAGTCTTAAACCAAGGGCCAAAGCTCCCACAATAAAGATCAAGACAACTTGAGCACGGGCAACATACTCTGCCTGTGGTTTCTAGAGGAATGGGAGGACGGGGGAAGGGGCGTTTTTTCAGTCCCTGACCCAGATGCTGAAGCCAGTAAAATTCATGCAGCCAGACTCCCATGCAGCCAAACAGGGCATACTGGTATATATGTTCACATATAAATGCCACTCCTGAGACTGTAAAGTACGTTTGATGAAAGGTGCTAAATCAGCATTACCAGCTATTTATAGACCTGCCCGTAACCACAGCCCCAGATCTGCACATTCCCAGTCTCTGGGGAAGTTCAGGTCATATCTGAATTCTGTTGTCTCAAGCATGCATAATCCTAACTAGCCACAGCTGCAGCCAGTGTCGGGTTTTTGTTAACGCAGAACAAAAATGCCCAGAGCCTTGGCTCCAGGACAGCTTTTGTTTATCTGATCTCTTTGGAGAGCCCTAGCCTGCCTTTCCCGTAAGGACCAGATGGAGTAACAAAAAAGAGCGAAGGCCACAAAACCATTCTGGGTGAGTATTGTCTTGTTGTCAGCTTGATCAGAAGAGTATGAGAGCATCCAGCTCTTTGTCAGGGACAAAGATCCCAGGTCCCATGGAAGGAGGAACACAGCTCCCGAGGGCAAAGGCTATCAGCTCCCATTAACTACATCACAAGTGGGAGCAGCCAGAGGGAGGTGGGTGCCAGGCTCAGCCACCACCTGCCTCAGCTTTGACATGAGGACATGATGCAGCAACCAGACTCCCAAATCAGTGCCCACCATATTTGCAGAAAGCAGAGTCAGGCTCTAGAGGGACACGAACCTGCGCTTGACTGACCTTTCCCATCTCAGCTCCTTTATAAAGCAGAGGAGTCACGGATAGGAATAGGACTCTGGCCTGGCCCAGAGAGCCCCCTATTCCCAGCCGGCTGCCAGCTCTGTGCTGCTTTCACAGATGCAGGAAGGCGAAGCGGGATTGGATCAAAAGTGCAGTTACCCCCATGCACAGTCTTTTGCTAGCAGCAAAGCAAGAGAAGCCTTTTTCCCTCTCCAGCTGTGAAGGAAGTGGCTGAAGTCCTTAGTGCCACTGTGACTCGTGGCCCCTCCTGGGCAGGGCTCCCATGGGCTCGGCAGGCTGCACATGTGCAAGGACCAGCTCCCTCTCCCCTTGCCCATGGGGCTGCGGCTGCCATGCTGCACAGACTGCGCACAAAGCACAGCTCAGCAGCTTTGCAACAGCCTTGACTGCCCATAATTGCAGCCTGCTAGGGTTGGGGATTTTTGTGGCTTACCCTTCCTGACCTCCTTGCTTGCAATATGTTTCCACCAGGCCACCCTCTTCCCCCCGCCTTCCAAAATCAAGCTCAAAGAGATACAGAGGAAGCATTCCCAGCAGGCAGGGAGGAAAAAATAGCTTCAGGGAACATGAGTGAGAAGGGATTTTAGGATCAAGTCCTGTGTCCTGCAGGCAAGACTCCTAAAAATCAGTAATTGTGTTTAAGTACAGATGATATCCAGACCTTGGTTAGTGCCTGGTGTCTCCAATGATTTTATAGCTGTAGGATTGGCCATAGAACTTGCTCCTTGCTAAAGACAAGCTCCAGCATCTCATCTTGCTTGGCTTTTTACTTTGTTGCTTCTACGTGTTGTTTCTATTCTGTTCTTAAGTCTTCAAGATAGTAGCAATACTGCTCAGATCCTGCCCCGTGTATTAAGCAATGTTCGAGCACCAACTCCAGTGGAAATTACTCAGCGTTTCTACCCAGTTACCTGAGATCAAAAGGGGTTTCCAACAAATGATACCTTCCTTTTGAATAAGCAAGGATTGAAATTCTCATGCTAGAAACAGGGAAACTGAGGCACACAACGTACCCTGTCCCGAGTCAAGTAATGAGTCAGTAGCAACTCTGGCAGCCCGACTCCATGTTCTCCTTCTGACCATAGGATGGCTGAGCTAATGAGAAACAGGTTTCAAACACTCTTGTGCCCTCTCAAAATGACCCTTAGAATGAAATTCTCTGTAATATTTAACCAGTAAGTATTTTTATTGTTCATTTTGAATCCATTAAGACTACATTATGTTGGATTATAAGACGTTGGCTACACCTCCCACATTTTCATGCAGGTATTACATTTGCAAGGTTTTCTCAGAAAAATGGAGCAGGCGCTTAAAATGCATAAAGGTTATACAACTATAACATGGAAGCTGCATGTTAGTTACAGAAACTTGTACCACATGTACCAGTAACAAACCCATACCCCCATGTAAAACTTCCTTGACCTTCAATAATCTAACTGCTTCCTCTGTCCCTCATCTCCATGCCCTGGCTGCCTATGAGCCCACATCCCCACTATTTCTGAAAATATAAACATTTTCTAGAAAAGTTTAGTACAGTACGTTTTTTTTCCTTTAAAAACTAAAAAAAGTTTTTCCTCCACTACCCCCCGAAATGAAAATCTATCATAATCTACACATCTGTTCAAGCACTTAAATGTTACAAATCTCTACTGCATTATTCAAAAGTATCAGATCAGTAACAAACTTCTAAACATACTAGGATGACCCTAAAATTCCCCTTCCCCCAAAACTACAGAGAACTGAAAATGCTATGCTGCATTATCACACTTGCATGCATGTATCCTGAGCCGCCTGTATTTATTCACCTTAAGCCCCTTTTAATAAATAACTGTCCAGCAGTAACATCCAGAAGTGTGCTGTCTCCTCCAAATTAAACTCTATATTTACAGAAGTAGGGCTGTTTTCTCAGTGAAATGTTGTGTTTTTAAAACAAAAACAAAAACAAAATAACAACAATCAAAACAGCAAACATTTAAGAGAGAAAGCCTATTACTGATCATGTTGTCTAAAGACCAACAGGAGTAAAAAGCATTAGGAGCACCAGGTGCACATGCATTTGAACTGGTACAGTTCATGAAATAATGTCATTCACTGTTATACGCGCTCATTCAGATGAGGAGCTGATTCTTTTTTTTTCTTCTCCTTTTAACAGGGGCCGTCTGCTCTGCAGCCAACTCCCACAGATGGCAATACATGCACTGAGGTTGAAAGATGGCCATGAACATGCTTTGATCAATGTGGTTCTGTATCAGCTTTAATCACATGGGGTTTTTGCTCCCTGCTGCTTTGCACCTTGTGTCTTTTCACATTTGTGCTAAGTGTGAGCCAAAGGTCCCCCGAATCCTTGTTTTTCACTTGGATGAGGCAAAACATTAGATACTAACTTTCTGCAGGTTTCAAATGACGCTTATGAGCTTGAAAATACCGGGGAATAATCCCACATGAGAACATTTTTTAGCAGTGCAACTATTGTAATCACAACTGGCCGACAAGCATACCAAAACAAACACATTCAAACATCGAGCCAGTTAGAGGGATTTTGTCCCTTCATTTATTATGAGCCAGTCCTCAGCTGACAGACGCTAGCCTTGACTTTGGTTGGCCTATGTTAATTTACACCAGGTGAGGATCAAGCTCAGTAGACTATACAATAGCCACCAGTTTCTCCTTTGCATTGTTATAGTGCCTGAGATCACTACAAACGGACACACGTTTACAAAGCCAGAAGGCCTTTCTGTAGCCAGTGCAGTGTATTCACTGCCCCACTCACTTTGCAAAGGCAAGTCAGTCTGTTTCACTTTCTCTTCTTCCCACTTTACCTACAGACTATAACCTAAACCTGCAGTGCTCCCATTGCAGAAGCTGCAGGAAAAACTTGAGTTATACACCAGCTGCCTAATTTCGTATAGTGAGGATGCTGAAAGCTCCATTTACACCGAACGTAATTTTCAACTCTGCGGTGCTTCCTACTCTATCATATATGGACCTAATTACCTGGAACCCCAAATCACATTACTTACTGCCTCTGCTGTACTTAACAAGTTACACAGAAATTGTTAGTAACTGCTATCTCTGCAAGATAAGACATATTCTAGAAAAGAAGAAAATTCACCTCAACTAGAAACAACAGGCACGCTGAATGTTTGATTGTGACAAGCCCTTCCCAAGTCAACACCTCTATTCTCACTGAAGGTGAGATTTGCATTTGCATTTAACAACAGTGCAAATCTGCAGCAAGAGGTCTCTACTGACTCCCCTTGAGAACCACACAGGACCAAGACAAGACAGAAGCTGGCCTACGGGCTCTTTTTCATTTGCTCAAGTTTACTCTTGATCCATCAATTCAACTTTATTAGCAGTTACTAATTTTGTAAACAAATTTTTGCTTTGTGTTACTGGCTCCTTACCACCATTTGTGAGCTTCACCATTGTGTCAAACCCATCCCTGCCTGCTGATGAAAGACTTGGCATCTAAGATGGTATTCTATACATACATATAGCACAGATATAGCAGAGGTCTGCCTATTCCTACAGGCAGCTGAATCTCATAAGACATTTTTTACCCTGGCAGGGGGATTTATTACCCTCTGCCACCTCAATTCCTGGCTAGAATTTATTGCCTAATTTTTCTTAGATTGCCAACATGAGAGACTGTCAGGGTCAACTGCATGCATGCATGAGAACAGGGCTCAGACCTAGCAAGTTTATTTTATGTAGGCTTCCATATGATCACAATAAGATGAGATAATGATCTCTGCTTGCAAAGCACCTTCCCCCACGTCCAGGTCCCTGTCCCCTCCCTGGAACAATCCAGTTACTTTCACTGGTGTCAGAAGCGGAGCTTCAGCAGAACTGCAATGAAAAACTGGACGCATTTTAGTTTTAACCTTTCGAATGAAAGGAATAGAGATAAGCAAGTGATGACTGACCAAGTGTTGCACTGGCTGCAAAAGGCCTTTCCATTCATGGGAGTGCTACTCTCCGAGCAAATTTTGTAAAGGAAGAGAAACCAAAGAGAAACCTACACGGTTCCCGCACAAAAACACACACTTCTCCTCCCAACAGAAATCCATTCTTATGGACCAGATTATGCAGACCCCGTTCAAGTGACTAAAAAGAATGAGGATAGGGCTGAGTACATCCCAATTATCCTTTCCGATCACGAAGAAGTCACAGGTCAGCAAAGTACTTGGGCATAAGGATGTTTTCCTCTTGACCTGCAGGACATTTTAACGCATGCAGAAGTGCTTTGCTGGCCCAGGCCTTAATCAAGAACAGCTCCAAGGCCAGCTGGCACCAGTGAGTGTGATTCCACTACCTGCACCAATATACATGAGGTAAGAGCATAACTCAAGAGAGCAGAGCAGCGTAAGAGGAGGAGGAGGAGACTCTGTGGTTCTTCTGAATTTAATCTTTAACAGCCCCAGCTGCATACACGCGGCATGTCACAGCGATCAGCATAGACTGATGAGAGCTTGGTATTGCATTCTGCACATGGGACTTCCAGTGGAAGTAGTAAGCCTGATTCCTATCTGTACCAGCACAACTTCATATTCCTGTAGCAACAGCATGAAGAGGCCTTAAACCTGGAGTAACTGCATGATACAATTAGTGTTTTATCTTTGAGTTACATGCCAATAACTAGCGTGATGTGCTGTACACCCACACCTACACAGAGATGGAGAGATAAGTAAATGCTGTGTCGTAACACAGCATAGACAAAGTTTCTACAACTGTCCTAGTAACACAGTCAAGTGACACTGCTAACCAGCACACAGAGCTGCAGCCACCCTCTCCAATACCATCTAATTGGTGAGAAGAGAAAAAAAACAAGCTTGGGTGTTACTCTGATTCACTAGGGAATGATCTGGGTGCAACCCACTCAGGTGTCACTTAGCAAACACAATTCATGGGCTGTCCCACAGTCCCGCGTCATAAATTCCCACCTCTATGTGGGTGCTCACATCACTTTTGCATGGCACACAATTAAGATCATCAGCAAGTAGTCCCAATGTTTGGGAGGCCCCCAGCCAAACATCACAGAGAACAGGGGAAAAGTTAACATTGACACAACACTCTGTGTCACCCTCTTCCACAGGTAGACTGCAAGGTTACATGTTAGTGGGATCTGGGCTATCTAAAGAAAGATATTCATTGGGGGGTTCATATTTGAACCACAAGAGGATCAAGAAATCAGAAGGAAAATTCTCAATGATTAAATGGCAATGGAATTGATTCCTGTATGCTCCTGATATATATATATATAAAACAGGTGCTGTTTGCATATGGTAGCAGTCATGCTTAAGTTACATATGTTTTTCTTCCATTTTGGAGCATGTTTTGTGCAAATGAAAACTGAACACTGACCCAAAATATTTTGCTCTAAATGCTACTGAAATTTGGACAAATGTAAACCCAGGTCTTGTTCAGGGTTTGGATTTCTAGAACTAACATCTGACTTTCAATAACTACTCTATGAACTATACACAGAGATAGCAGGTTCAATACTGATTTTCCTCAGGACAAAAAGATACTCCTCTATGACAGACTATTAAAGCTAGATCATTGGCACATAATCTCATTTTACCTCATTAATTTAAATTTTCATGGAAATTCCACCTGCAGAATCAAGGGCAGAAAGTTATCTTTGCAATTATTGCTCCATGTTAACATCTGGATGCAGTACTGTTGGGAGAAAAAAAAGCAAATTCTTCAATGAACTATGTTAAACAAACTTGCAGGTGACAGCTACCAAAACAACTGATGCGCATGTATCTGGCTAAAGTTATTAGTGTATGATCTGACATACCAAGTCAGACAAATGTCATATGTAAAAAGATCTTCAGATGTATACATACTAAAGCTGCAACTGTATCTAGATGATCATTTTGGTTTGTTTCTATTTCCCATAGCTCTGAATCTATCCACTGAATGTTTACTCAGCAAGTGTGGTATAAATATATTCATACATTAAAATTGACACTTGGCAATTTTCCTTTTTTTTTTTTTCTTCTTTTTTTTTTTGCTGACCAGCAACAAATTCTGATATCTTTAACTGTAAACCAATACTCAATAAATATGCTGTGTTCAGCAAAGAGACATGTTTTGTCAATCAGGGTTTTGCCACACTCTAAGCAATGGGCTGGGGGGGCGGACGTGAGGGGGGAGGTCCAGGAGGGGCTCGGGATGGGGGTGGTCCAGGAGGCGGCTGCCTAGAAGGAGGCTGCAGAGACACAGGAGGAGAAGGACTTCTCGGAGCATTGTTAAGAGGAATATCATCACGCCTTGGAAGCTTCGGAGGTGGGCTGTAAGGAGCAGAGGTCCCATCTGATTTCACACGAGTGAAGTTTATGCATCTTCCCTGGAGATAAAGAAAAAGTCATTATTCATTACAAAAGTCTGTTTTGACTCATTAGCAATTAGCCAAAGGGGCTGTAAGCAGAAGGGTCAGACTGCACTTAGAGATTTTCATCCAGTATCACTCCCTGGGTCCTAGACATGACATTCAGACCATGCTGTATTAAAGGTCAACACTAGAAGGCAACGCTTTCCTTGGGTTTCAGAGTTGCTGCCTATAAATAATAGCCTAGGACTGGTTTAAGCAAAAAGGGAGCCCAGTGTGACATTGCTCACGTTTGCCCTCTGCTCTGCTACTGGAGCTATGCAGAATGAGACTAAAGCCACAACTTCACAACAGAGCCCTGCCAGTCTTGGCAAGATCCCTGACTGACAAGGAAAAAACCTCATAGCAGAGACAGAACTATATCAGTGGAACAATACTACTACAGACGGAGTCTGTAGCTCCATCTGTAGCTTTCCTTTCCACAACGATGCTAGTCTACGTGATGTCCACACTGCAAACACCAGACTGGCATAGTACGTTCTGTGCTCCAAAGGTAGATGTGGCTTCTCTGTTGTTCCCACAAATACGAACAAGGTGTGGGACTTGGGCTCTCCAATTTTGGAATAGAGGCAGGATGCAAGCAGGTAGGATGTGGTAGGAGAACTGCAGGTGGAGATTTTAAGCAGGAGAAGCCTTGGTTTGAAATAAGAGCAAGCCCTGGGGATGTCCTACTCAACCAGGGACTCAATGCAAACACATCAGAGCTTCCTTCAACCAAAACACAGCTTTGCAGAGGTTTCATTAGCCAGGTTCCAGACAGATAGAGGGACAGATACACCCTGGGTCCACCTAGCCTTTCCTGGGGGGAGCAGCCAGAGGCTGCTGGGCACTTCAAATCCTACATAGCAACCCCGGTCAGGTACTTAGATCTCTGCTGTCGGCTCTACTTGTTCCTCCCCAAGGCCGCTAGGTTTTGTTACAAAGCATCCTGCTGTTGCTGTGGAGGCGCGCATGAGATCCTCCACACACAAAAGCTTGCGTGTGCAAATGCAATGCTTGGCACCACCGTCTCCATCTCCTTGCACAGCAGAGATGGAAGAAGACGTTATACAACAACATGACTAACATGCCACGTGTCACGTTAGCAGAAGCCTGTGCACCTGAAAGTCAGAAAGGCCTTTCATCATCACATATAAAGGCTGGAGAGGAAGGCTGTCTGAAAAACTCAGGAGTAACACTGCCAACAGCCCCTTTAGTGGAGCCTTCAAACACCTGATGAATCAGCTAATCCCACCAGTCTCAATTCCCCCTGCCCCCCCATTTTTTTTTTTTTTTTTTTTTTACACATCATAACTTCTCATAGCCATA